TGAAAACTTGTTTGCTCATTTGAAGCCCTGAGATTTCGGGAGGAGCCTTTAAAAAAATAGCCTCACCCCTCTCCTATTAGATCATTTCTACGGTATATTTTCTTCACACCCTACTCCCCTAAGTCAGCACTTGTTACGCTACGGTGGCTTACGAAGATTTAACCTGAGATCAGGCCCAATTTGAGCCGTTCTCATACATTCTCTCTAACGGCTACCGCTGAAATTGGGCCTGATACAACGTTACGGCCAGATTTTGGCCGTAACGCTGATTGGCTGTCAGAACAATGCCACAAGATCTGATTGGCTGTCGGAAACGCCGGAAGTTGAAAGTGCTTATTCCTCGCGTGGTTGTTTTCGTGAATGATCCGTCGTAGGGCTGTCCTCAAGTTGCTCCAATTTTCTCAAAAAGTTGTAAGACAAATATTGTAAGACTGAGTCTCTCTCAACCCAAATCATAAAAATGTGATTCTCTGTATTGGCTTTCTATTACTATAACCACGTGATTGTATTCGAACAAAACAAACTTTGCTAATATGCTTATTAAATATATAAAGTTTCTCTGACATACACGAGTGTATGTGGTATAAAACCATAGTCTTTCAATATTTACATCTTTGCGGGTGTAGTACAGAGCACTGTCCCTGTTGGTCAATGTTTTGCACCACCAGCTAGTCCTCTACAGACATATAATTCAAGATTTCATATGCGCTTATTTCTTTTCCGAGAGATACTGGCTTTTTCTGGAGTACTTAATCTAGCTCCAGCACTAGCTGCTACTTCTAAAGGATCTGAATATTCAACATCTTGACTCGAGCTCGAGCATGAATAATCACTCGGCATTCAGCATATCCGCTGACCACCTTCGGCTGCTACCACAGGCAGACCACCAGGGGAATAGTGTTTTTTGTTTACAAAAGGTATTTTACGCAAAATCATGCATAAAAGCAACTGATGCTTTAAATTAGAACATGAATGGGCGGTTTTTAGTTACAAATTGCCTTAAAAAGCAAGAAAGTTATTCAAAAAAGAAAAAAGTTGCACAAAATCCGAAAAGTTGCTCGAAGGACTTAAAGTTCCTCCAAATCTGAAAAGTTGCTCAAAAGTTGCCGAGCAACTTATGGACAGCCCTAATCCGTCGTCGGTGTCATCGGTGGACAGAAGGATCGATTTTGCTGTCTTTTTTATTGTTTTATGGTCTTATGGTAGGAAAATATGCCTTAATATGTGCCATGGAAATTCAGAAAATTCATGTGGTTGCTCATATCTTCTCAGGATTTGCTTTATTTACGGAAAGTGAGTGAAAGTGAGTTGAATCCCTCCGCAAGTTGTTGACCGCTAACAAGGTGCCTTTTGATTAACCAACAAACGGGTGCAAATCAAAATGCTGTCCATCTTAAAACTGGTTTCATTTGAAAGTTTAGCCGGGAATGACTTCTCTGAACGGGGTACGCAAGCGGAGGCTCACTGCGAAAGAAACCTCAATCGCCAACTGTGAAGTATTAGACGAAAAATATCGCATCGCTGTTCAAGGAATTTTCAGTGTTCACAGACTGGTTGTTTGACTACGCTTTTTGTAAAAAATAAACCAAGAAAACTGGTGTCCTCGCTCGTTGGCTGTTTGCTTTTGTTTTTAAAGATTTATGTACTGAAAATCGGGGGAAATTGCCGAGGAAAATATCAAGACAACGGAAAAATAGAGATTTCAGTATTTTAAATTCCAGAGCGCCTAGCCAAAATAATAAAACTAGTAGAACATCGTGTCGCCGTCTTTTCGAAGACTTTTTACCTTCTACGCCAACAGAAGTAACCTTCGAGATCTCCCTTAATCTCGCAAGAAGTTAAATGTGATTGTGCTGACTGTTTTATTTTTAGCTAAAAAAATTAACAGATAAAAGCTATTTTTTAAGTCAGCCAGTCTGCATTTTTCCCCCGCGTGCAAAATTTGCATACTAGAAAAACAAGCAACGGAAGTAATTCTGATTGGCTGATTCGGCGAATGTCAATCAATCAAAAAAGTGGGCGGCAGACAATTCGCTAAAGGTCTGTATCAGGCTCTCTTTTCGTTTCGCTTTGCCCGCCGGAATGTAATTTTCAAGGCGAAACGAAAATAGAACCTGATCTCAGGTTAACGAAGATTTGAATTTCGCGGTCGATGATCTGGCTACGCATCGGTAATCGCAACCTTTGTTTCTCGAATAATAGAGGCCTTTTACCTTAAACTATAAAAAAGACCATAAAAGGAGCGAAAGTCTCTGTCATTGTTAACCTAAAATTGCACATAGTTGACACAGCGCGCTGAGTTTGCAAACCACAAGCCGGCTAACAAATAACATGTTGTAAAGGCATCTCAACCACTTAGCCGTGAGAAATTTATAACACCTTTGATAGGATAAACATTTTTTGTGCGAAAATATTGGAAATTCTAGCTCAATTGTGGCTAAAATCGGCAAAAAGGCGTACATCACGGAGATCCTTCTAGCTCGACGGTTTCGTTGTAACTGAGCTACTTGATAATTCGCCCCATGATCCTTTGCGAACTGCTGTCCAACCTCCTCTGATCCATTTCTAACTCTGAACGCTATTCTCATAGTGTGTCGATCATTCAACATGTCAGTAAGCGTTCAAATATATTTTTTTTTAATGTAAGTCTAGACGATAAGATGTAAGCGACCAAAGTTTCGTTTCCATCCGTGGATAAGCAATCTGCGATACGGAAAAAGATGTCGCTCCCCGTTGCATCCTGGGTAGATCGATGAAATGTTGGTTCTGCTATTGACGAACGTTTCGATCAGCCGAATTTTAAAGCGCTTAGCAACTTGGGAAGTGTTCTTGTTAACTTTCTTAATGACGACGATTTTTCTTCTCAAATTAAGTTAATAAAAGAAAATCATGCAGAAGACATCAAGTGCTATTATCTTCTTCCCCAGTTGGAGATATTCAAGGTTCTGATGAAGGGCAAACAAATCGAAAGTTTTTCAGATATTTTACAGTAAATGAAGTGAAGAGGCAGAAGAGCCTTGCTTGAGCGTGCCATGATTGTTGCGGTTGTACAAATCTGCAAACTAGCTTCTCCACGTCAATCCAGCCGCTGCAGCCCGGGGGCGGGGGGGGGGGAAGGGAGACTCCGCATATGAAAGGTGTGGGGATGCTCGTCGTCTCGCTTAGGGGTGTAAATTTCGGATTGTGGTCTCACTTAGGGTGTTCTGGGCAAAACGCCATCATATTTAGCCGTGAAGGTCTCGTTTAGGGTTGCACGTGGAAAAATATAAAAATATATATATTGTCTGTGTCTTAACATGGTCTCTTTTAGGGGTCAAAAAAGTTTGGGTCACGCCCAGATTGGTCTCCTTTAGGCGTTTAATTCAAAATTTCTGACGAACATCCCCACCCCTTTCATATGCGGATTTCCCCCCCCCCCCACCCGGGCGCTGCAGCAACAGGCGAAAGATCATTTTAGTTTTCTGTGGCGCACGGAATCAAAACCTGACTGCGAGCTAAGATGACCCAGCAGAGATTTAAGATTGGTGTAATCTTAATTATTTGTAAGACAAAAACTGATACTGTGTGACTTGCTGATGTGGCTAAAGAATTTGTCAGTCGAAATTTTAAACGTAAACGTAACTTTGGAACATTTATATACTGACGCTGATTAGCCTCCATCATATAGTCAGCTAAATGGACTAACATATGATAGACCCGACAAGGGCCAACGCGAAACCTTTAAGGCTTATTTCTTTTTCTTGATATTTTGTTAATTCTGTTTGGTGAAATCCAGTTTAAATGGTAAAAGAATATAAATTTAAGGATTCGCCTTAATATTATTTGAATCTTTTGTCACATTAAATGAACGCCATATATTTTAGTTAAGTTTAAATTTACGTTTTTGCGTAGAAAACAAAGAAAATGGTGATAAAAATTTAACAACATTTTCCCCGGTTTGATATACGCGTTTCTGGTGATTTTAGAGGCTCTAAATTTCAAAATTTCCGGGGAACATACCCCCGGACCCTCTTAAATATACTCGCGCCTTCGACGCTCGTTCAGCCCAACCAATCCAAAATACGCTCCGCGGTCCCTGTACGTCCTCCGTAAACAAGCGTTTACACTTACACACACACCAAATCATACACCCTTGCACACACCAAACGTAACTAGCTATAGTTGATTAATTTAGACCACTTCTCGGATGTCAATATATTTTTCTACTTCTATCTTCTCCTTTTAAAGAGCTAGCCAGGTAGAAAATCTTAAAACCGTGGATTTAAACTCCATGCAATGCCTTAGAGTACAGAAGGTTTTTGCCGATGAGAATTAAATATTTGAGTAAAAGAAGACCAGTTTTTCATTACACCATTCATAATTTGATTTTTGCAAAGAGTTAGAGATCGTTTAGATAAAGACTGATTCAAAGAGAAATCTAGGACGAAAAGGAAAAAGCAAAGGAACAAGATCGAAATTTATTCTTGTATTTACTGCTATTTCTTAGGCGGCACGTGTAATGCCTTTTTTGAAACACGAATTTCATGCTTACCTACTCAGACAACCACTGAGTTAAAAATTTACCTCCTGGCAAAACAAATAAAACAGATATCACAAATTTCATGAAGCTAATTTCTTCACTTCTTCTTTAATCCATTTTTTTGGCAAAAATAGCCAAAGCGTAAATAGTATTTTCCTGAAATTTTATCTCAAATAATTATACTGTTCCCTCGAAGAGCTGTAGATTAGTTGTGAACGTAAGTATTACATGTAAAATCTTGGACGACTTTCTTATTTCTTCAGAGCTGGTAGCTGCAGTTTAGGTTAGTCTTTGCATAGGAAGACATTGCCATTTTCCAAAACAACCTACAGGAGTATCAATATTAAAATAAAAGTATAAAAAGATATGAGGAGGATTTTCAGGTTAAGGACATATATTATTTTAACAGCTTTATAAAGGACAGATCGGAATATAACTGATTTTACATAGGATAAAACACTCTTATTTTTGCTGTTTTTAGTCATGCGATGAAGGTAAAAGAAAGCAGGAGCAACCCGACAGCACTTCCCGCGTAAAGGATTGCTTGTGCAATTCTCACCTTGGACTGAAAGCTTTAAAAGGCGGTGATTATAAAACAGCCCGATATTACTTCGAGTTGGCATTAAAGGAAGCCACAGAGATCGGAAATAAAGATTCTGAAGGAACTGCATATAACAACCTTGCCGATGCCTACCGCCATCTCGGTGATTTGCAGAAAGCAATCGAGTGTTTTCAGCTGAGTCTAAGTATCGCAGAAAAGACTGGAAACAAAGATTCTGAAGGAACTACATATAACAACCTTGGCCTTGTCTATTGCGATCTCGGTGATTTGGAGAAAGCAATCGAGTGTTTTCAGCTGAGACTAAGTATCGCAGAAAAGACTGGAAACAAAGATTCTGAAGGAGCTGCATATAACAACCTTGGCGCTACCTACCGCCATCTCGGTGATTTGGAGAAAGCAATCGAGTGTTTTCAGCTGAGTCTAAGTATCGCAGAAAAGACTGGAAACAAAAATTCTGAAGGAACTGCATATAACAACCTTGGCGATGCCTACCGTCATCTCGGTGATTTGCAGAAAGCAATCGAGTGTTTTCAGCTGAGTCTAAGTATCGCAGAAAAGACTGGAAACAAAGATTCTGAAGGAACTACATATAACAACCTTGGCCTTGTCTATTGCGATCTCGGTGATTTGGAGAAAGCAATCGAGTGTTTTCAGCTGAGACTAAGTATCGCAGAAAAGACTGGAAACAAAGATTCTGAAGGAGCTGCATATAACAACCTTGGCGCTACCTACCGCCATCTCGGTGATTTGGAGAAAGCAATCGAGTGTTTTCAGCTGAGTCTAAGTATCGCAGAAAAGACTGGAAACAAAAATTCTGAAGGAACTGCATATAACAACCTTGGCGATGCCTACCGTCATCTCGGTGATTTGCAGAAAGCAATCGAGTGTTTTCAGCTGAGTGTAAGTATCTCAGAAAAGACTGGAAACAAAAATTCTGAAGGAGAAGCATATAACAACCTTGGCGCTACCTACCGCGATCTCGGTGATTTGCAGAAAGCAATCGAGTGTTTTCAGCTGAGTCTAAGTATCGCAGAAAAGACTGGAAACAAAAATTCTGAAGGAACTGCATATAACAACCTTGGCGATGCCTACCGTCATCTCGGTGATTTGCAGAAAGCAATCGAGTGTTTTCAGCTGAGTCTAAGTATCGCAGAAAAGACTGGAAACAAAAATTCTGAAGGAGAAGCATATAACAACCTTGGCGATGCCTACCGCGATCTCGGTGATTTGCAGAAAGCAATCGAGTGTTTTCAGCTGAGTCTAAGTATCGCAGAAAAGACTGGAAACAAAAATTCTGAAGGAACTGCATATAACAATCTTATCGCTACCTACCGCGATCTCGGTGATTTGCAGAAAGCAATCGAGTGTTTTCAGCTGAGTCTAAGTATCGCAGAAAAGACTGGAAACAAAGATTCTGAAGGAGCTGCATATAACAACCTTGGCCTTGTCTGTGACGATCTCGGTGATTTGGAGAAAGCAATCAAGTGTTTTCAGCTGAGTCTAAGTATCGCAGAAAAGACTGGAAACAAAGATTCTGAAGGAGCTGCATATAACAACCTTGGCGCTACCTACCGCCATCTCGGTGATTTGGAGAAAGCAATCGAGTGTTTTCAGCTGAGTCTAAGTATCGCAGAAAAGACTGGAAACAAAAATTCTGAAGGAACTGCATATAACAACCTTGGCGATGCCTACCGTCATCTCGGTGATTTGCAGAAAGCAATCGAGTGTTTTCAGTTGAGTCTAAGTATCGCAGAAAAGACTGGAAACAAAAATTCTGAAGGAACTACATATAACAACCTTGGCGTTACCTACCGCGATCTCGGTGATTTGGAGAAAGCAATCGAGTGTTTTCAGCTGAGTCTAAGTATCGCAGAAAAGACTGGAAACAAAAATTCTGAAGGAACTACATATAACAACCTTGGCGTTACCTACCGCGATCTCGGTGATTTGGAGAAAGCAATCGAGTGTTTTCAGCTGAGTGTAAGTATCTCAGAAAAGACTGGAAACAAAAATTCTGAAGGAGAAGCATATAACAACCTTGGCGCTACCTACCGCGATCTCGGTGACTTGCAGAAAGTAATCGAGTGTTTTCAGCTGAGTCTAAGTATCGCAGAAAAGACTGGAAACAAAAATTCTGAAGGAAAAGCATATAACAACCTTGGCGCTACCTACCGCGATCTCGGTGATTTGCAGAAAGCAATCGAGTGTTTTCAGCTGAGTGTAAGTATCTCAGAAAAGGCTGGAAACAAAGATTGTGAAGGATCTGCATATGAAAACCTTGGCCGTACCTATTGCGATCTCGGTGATTTGGAGAAAGCAATCGAGTGTTTTCAGCTGTGTCTAAGTATCGCAGAGAAGGCTGGAAACAAAGATTCTGAAGGAGATGCTTATGGCCTCCTTGGAGGTGCCTATCACGACCTCGGTGATTTCGAGAAAGAATTCAAGTATTGTCAGCTGTGTCTAAGTATCGCAGAAAAGACTGGAGACAAAAAGTCTGAAGGATGTGGATATAACAACCTTGGCCTTGTCTATCAGAATCTCGGTGATCTGGAGAAAGCAATCGAGTATTTTCAGCTGAGTCTAAGTATCGCAAAAGAGACTGGAAGGAAAAATTGTGAAGGAATTGCATATTTCAACCTTGGCCGTGTCTATGACGATCTTGGTGATTTGCAGAAAGCATTCGAGCTTACTCAGCGGAGTGTAAGTATCGCAGAAAAGACTGGAAACAAAGACTCTAAAAGAATTACAAATAACAACCTTGCTTCTATTTTTTTCCGTTTTGGCGACGTTATTAAAGCCGAGGAGTGTGCTAAATCCTCTATAAAACTGGTCGAGGAAATGAGGGATCTCCTACCCGGGAAAGACGAGTGGAAAATCAATTTTCGGAATGCACGTGACAACAGTTATACTCTTTTAAGGAGAATTCAATCACAACAAGGTAGAACCCTTGAGGCACTTTTCACAGCTGAGGCGGGACGAGCACAAGCTCTCATGGATCTCATGGAATCACGATATTGCGTCAGGGAATCAATTCGACCGTCGTCAGAACAGCAGATGGAACTAATAATGACAATTTCAGGACTTGTTTCTTCACCTATGATTTTTGTAGCAGAAGATAAAAAACTAGTGAGTTTGTGGTTACTGCTTAAGGGACAGCAGTGTCATTTTATCCAAAAGGAGATCAGTGATGACTTAACATCACTAATTCAGGAAACGTACCAAAAGATTGGTGTCAAATTCGTTGTGAGGGGCAAGGATCGCTCCCGGGATGAGCCAGAAGATGAAGAGAGTGTTGCTCTTAAAACATTGTATGACGTGGTTATCGCTCCATTTTCACACTTGATAAAAAGTGACGAAATCATCATTGTCCCTGACCGCTCATCATTCTTGATTCCTTATGTTGCCCTTGTGGACCAGAATTCCAGGTATTTGTCTGAAACGATGAGAATTCGATTGTCTCCATCACTAAGAAGCTTGAGGCTGCTGACAGAGTGTCCGGAGGACTGCCATAGTACATCTGGTGCACTGATTGTTGGTAATCCGTGGGTGGAAACCGTACGCGTCAAAGGGTCCAAATTCAAACCGCTTCCAGGTGCTGAGAAAGAAGTACAAATGATTGGACAGATTCTTAACATTCAACCTCTCACTGGTAGGAACGCTACAAAAGATCAAGTTTTGAGCAGGCTCAACTCAGTTTCTTTAGTACACATTGCAGCACATGGTTGTCCAGAAAACGGAGAAATTATTTTGTCTCCTAATCTTGCTGATGCTAAAAAGCCGAAAGAGGAGGACTTTCGTTTGACAATGAGAGATGTTTTGGATGCACAATTGCGCGCCAAGCTTGTTGTCTTAAGCTGCTGTTTCAGTGCACGAGGGGAGATCAAAGCCGAAGGAGTAGTTGGAATTGCACGTGCCTTTTTAGGAGCCGGTGCACGTTCTGTTATCGCGTCACTGTGGGCGCTCAGCGACGAAGACACTTTGGAGTTTATGAGACATTTTTACCGACATTTGGTAGCGGGGCAAACTGCAAGTAAGGCCCTTCATCATGCCATGGAATGTATGCGGGAGACTCAAGAATTCAAGGCCGTGAAGTACTGGGCGCCATTCGTGCTGATTGGGGATGACGTGACAATGAATTTTGACTAATGAAAGGTGAGTTGCTCAGTTAAAAAGAAAAGTCAAAAATAGATTTTTCGCATCAGCATTAAATTCAGCACGTGCGAAGTTCGAGTTTTGAAACGGAACTTAAATTTCTACAACGACAGAAAAAGAGTAAATTAAAGCACGGACGACAGATTGAACACGTTGTGCAGAGTAAAAAGAAACCAACACAGGATAAAAGGATCATGCTCATTTGAACTGTCAGACACACATGAGGTCAGTTTTCAGTTGCAGGCCAGAAATAAGTCAATCAATCAATCAATAGATCGATCAATCCGTAGTTTCAAAAGTTCTGATGCCACGAGTCTATGGTTGACACAACAGAGCAAAGACCGACAGATTATTATTGTTAGTTTTTTTTTTGTATTTCCTTCTATAACAATTATAAGAGTACCCCTTCCCCCTGAGACAGTTACCTGGTGTTACCTTATTTGAGACCTGAAAATCTGTTTCTATACCGGAGGCGTAGCTGCCTTTTCGCCAGTGTGCACCGGCCTGTAAAGCTTGTATAAGAGCAGCCCTCCCCCTCCCACTCCCCCCTACACAGGAAAATTCCCCACCTGGTCATAGCTAGTCTTCTCGCTTATTAGTTAACTTGATAAAAATTACAGCAATTAGTTTGTCTGTTGCTTTCTTTCACTGCAGAGCCAACAAGAGATATAGAAGGACTTCTTACATCTGGGAAAGCTGTATGATCCTGCATCTCCATTAAGTCGCTCTGGCTGTACTTACCAGCGGGAATTGATTTACGGATTTATTTACATTGAAGAGTGGTAGACCAGGAGTGCAGTCCCTTATTTTCTCGAGGGATAGTAGAGCAAACAAAATAATTAAGAGGGCGTTCATGAAAAACACAACCCTCGAGTCCCCACTTGCCGCGCGCCTTCCTCGTGGGTGGCAATTTTCACTGTCACTCGGGTACTAACTCCCTCTACTTCCCTCAAGGCAAATAAGGTCCGACCACTCATTGTCTAAAAGAACACTTCAAAAATCAATCATCAAGAGATTGGAAAACACGAAACGACAACGAACACTACATAAAACAAAAACGTTTTGGTCCAATTAGACGACGGAGCCACCTAGATACTTGTGGAAAACTTCAACAACTTCAGCAAGGGTTTCTGGGAACGGGTTTCAGTCATTCCGTGGACGAACCTTTTATAGACTTCAAGGAAAAAGTTGCTTTATTTGCGTGAACTTGCACTGGGCCGGATATACCATATACACTGTAAATGGAAATTATATACCGTAACATCCCGTTTCTATGTGTTCAGGGAAATTGGTTACTGGTTTAAACTTTTACAACAACAAAAACGAACACAACATTAGCTTTATTTGCATGCCTATAAGTTCTAACAGTACAGTTGCAAATTAAAGTTTTTAAAGATAAAACAAGAAGAAATAATAAAGCAACAAAGGGATAACAATTAAGTTACATCAGACCCGCTTGGTAATAAATCAGTACTAAAATACAATCGTGATAATGCAAACTTCGCCCATTAATTTCTATTAAAACCGCAAAGAGGACAAAATAATCTTGTGATTTGGTAAATTCTGCAACTTTCGATCATCCTTTTCTTTCCTTTCAGTTACCTTGCTTTTATCTTTTAAGTAAGGGAAAATATTGTTCTTAAAATTGTTAAACTATTCTAGCAGGTTTCTTTGAGTGTTGAAATATGTACTTGTTTTACAATGCAACGTTTGAACCTACGCGGTCCGGGATGTAATAGTTTTCTTTGTTTTTAATACAAGGGAGAAATCATTAATATCAATAATACGAGGAAGATTCAAGTTCAGCCCCACAAGTAATATTTGATCAATTTTTGCTTGTTTCGAGACGGCGAAAAATCAACTCAGTACACGACATAATAGATTCAAAAAGGTTAGAATCCAAGCCCAATAAATGTCTTTAAATCCTGTGTAGGCTGTAAATTATAACAGGCCCTATACGGGCTAAGATGTCAGTGCTCAGCGCTTGAGATACTTGTCTTTTAATGAATTCTCCAACCGATTTGTTATCAAAGCTACGGAACAGTTTGGCCACCATCCCCCCTGCCCCCTACATCCGTCTTGTGAGCGATGTAAATAAATTACTTTCATTAACATAACCTTTAGATGTATAAAAGATGTAAATATCACAAATTTTCTTTATTCACGTTCGTACTGGAGGCAATGTGTAAAAATAAATGATTGATTTAATTTGAAGGCGACAAATGGAAATAAATTACCTTAATTAACATAACCTTTAGATGTATAGATAAAGGATGTAAATATCAGAAATTTTCTTTATTCACGTTCGTACTGGACGCAATGTGTAAAAATAAATAATTGATTTAATTTGAAGGCGACACAAACTGGTGCCTGTTTATTTAATAACCATCCGGTGCTTCCCTTCTGCGTATAAAGTGTTTCTTTAGCCTTCGTGACAGGCGCACGTGAAATATAGAGGCAAATATGAACGGCAGCGCTATCTTCGTGCGAGGAGAAAGAAAGCTACCTCTCTCTATTCGCGTTCCTATCTCCCTCGCGCATCACTCGACGCGCACCCATATTTCGCGCACGCCTACCCCGCAGAAAAAGAGCAAACATTGGGGGTGGTCACGCGAACGTTGCTAGGCAAAGTACGTCACTTATGTCCAAGAATGTGCGTGGGTATAGTCTCAACAAGCACTTCATATATGGCTGGGCTGTTGTCATTTTGATCTTTGAGATCTTGCCTTTTTCATTTAGATATGATTTGCTGGAATTCTTATTTGCCAAAACTTATGTATGCAATGTGACGGCTATTACAACAATCTTGTATCTCCCAAGGATTCGATCCTGCATCAATTAATCAGTAAACATTACAAGTGTTCCTTTTATTTCCAGACTCTAAAGCTATAGCTACACTTGTAAATTAAACTTGTTAAAGTTTTATTAAATTTAACGATGAATATATTTCAACGAAGACTTTGGCTAAACTTATCTAAAGAAAACCTCAGTGTTCCTCCTTAAAATTTTACGAATGAAAAAGTTTAGAAAAATTCTCATTTTGAAACTTTGACGTTTAAAAAGGGTTTGGACAAAAAGCTCAGTGGAAAAAACAGTGAAACTTCAACCTTGACCCATGTCTTTCACATCCTCCACGGACTTGAACTGATTGTTGCCGAGTCGTCTCTCGTTTCTTTTCTGTCAAATGATTAAGTCAAGTTGAAACTATCACGTGATCTTAATAAAACACAAGCCTTTCTTTGCAATCTTCACAGCTTTCTTTAATTCTGCTTTATTTGACTTCCGATCCTTCTGAAGTCTAAAAAAAGAAATACCAACATTTAAGATTTATACGAACGTGAACATTTAAGGCCTTCGTGACACGTTCCTCTCTCGAGATAGCCTGCGTGGAATTATATGCTAGACAGAAAGAGGCGCACCCCGTCCATTGCGCCTGTTATATTACTTCCAAGCGCCTGTCGCGCACGCAGGTTAGATGAAGCCCTATAAGCCATGAGTAGGTTGTTAGTTAATGGAGCAAACGTGCGCGGCCTTCTGTGCAGAAGATTTCGAGTTCGATTTCCAGGTGGGACCTTAATCCTTGTTTCGCCTTTTACTCTTTTCCTTGTAGCTTTTTAAAAGTAGCTTTTAACACCAGTAAAAAGGAGAACTGACGGAGAGAAGGAGGTAAAACGAGCGCTACTGTTATGGGTTCATTTCCGACGTAAAATAAAGATCTTTGTGGTTATCCAGCTGCTATTGAGTAACCTTCAGGGTTTAGGAAAGGTGATTTTTGTGGAAACTTATTGAAACACTCCTGGACTTAGTAACTGACCAATGCCTATCAAACAATTAAACTGGTAGCAGGATTATGGCGCGACCAAAACGGCGTCTAAACATTGTAATAACTAACTGGCTCAAGATTCCATTTTAAAGTAGATAGGTAGGATTTACTATATCTAAAATTGCATAAAATAACAACTTGCCTTGTGACGAGAGATAAATCCCCGCAACCAAACATTACAAAAAACAACGTGTCTTTCGGTAGGGCCTGGTGAATTTGTAGGATTTTAGAGTCTACCGACTTTAGCACTTCCTGTTGACAAAAAGAAAACAACTTTACAAATGTGACGACCAAGGTGCTTTGCTTAAGTCAGGAACCTCAGAATAATCGGGACCAAAGTTGTAACAACCGTTTGAAGTAAATGTTTCCAAACTGCATATCCTATGTTAGCCTACGAATACAGCTCTACAAGGAGACACAAAATTGTTAAAGATATTGTCGTCAACTGGAGCCGATATTTCAAAAAAATAAAATAACCTGGAAACGCTCCCCACCCCCTGCCCCCACCAAAAAATCCTTTAACACTTTTTGACAAGCAGACCACTCATTTTTATAAAGACATTCCTTTTCCCCTAGCCTATAAAACTAAACAAGGACTTATTTCAATAAGTTACCTTGCATCTTTGATCTTCTTCTCCCTTATCGTTACACGTTTCCCCTGCGAGAATAAAAGACAAAAGTTGGTTCAAAATAGTTTCTTGTCTCAATGAAATGTCTCCACCAGTCTGATACGTTTTAAAGAACGTAATAAAGGTTCCGTCTGCAATTATAATGCCGCTGACCTTTGAGGAACATTTCAGGTTGATGTAAATGAGCCCACAGTAGATCTGCGGTTTTGACTAGCTCCACCGCCTGGGACACCACCTAAAAATAAGAAGAATGGTCATTGGCGGCCTAATAAGCGTCTACAGGTGCTAACACATAGGGGCTTTTACATCCGATCAAGTTAAAACAATTAGATAAAGATTACTTACTTCATCAATGAGTGGATTTTGTTTTCTTTGGCGGCCATTTCGAATTTTTTGGTCAGATGGTGCGAGATCTGGAGCCAAGAAATATTGGGGGTCTGGGACAGTCGGAAAGCTCTCGGAAGATCCGATCGCTTGCCGAGTAATATGAAGTGACATATTATAAGAGATACGAGCGGCTCCGAAGTTTTCTTGGTTTTAGA